TAACCAGACTTGAGAACCAATTTAGAAAACTCATCCTTACAATTTTGTTTCTCTAGAACCACTTTCGGTACCAAATGTCTTAGGCTGGGTTCTCTAGAGAAGCAAAACCAGTAAAGTGTATAAATATATATATAGAGAGAGATTGTATCAAGGAAACAGCTCATGTGATTGTAGAGGCTAGAATGTCCCAAGGCCGTGGATCAGGGTAGAGGCCTCTCCCAAGTCACACAGCTGCAGGAAGCTCGCAACCCCAAGATCAGAAGGTCAGAGAGCAGGGCTCCCACTCACAGGCTGTGCAGATCGATGAATCCCAGGTTCGGCAGATAAGCTGACAGCTCAAGTCCCAAGAACGGGAGATGAAGACGACAGGAAGCAGCCACAGGATCCAGAGAGACCAAAACGCCAGAACGTCTGCTTATATACAGACGCGGGCCACACCCCCAAGGAGACTCCCTTTCATCTGATTGGCTACTCACAGTATATTCAATCATGGGAGTGATTACATTAAAACACGGAGAATCATGGCCAGCCATGTTGACACACAATCTTAAACATCACAGTCTGTTTTGCCATCCTGCTAGGCTTATATAAGGGCCAATCCCACAGAGGATCGGGGGGAACCTCACTACCACCAAGAAGTGTCTGAAGCAGAGCACGTCCTTTGGACCCAGGGTCCCTACACTGAGAACTTCCTAGACCCAGAAGAGAGAACTGTAACATGGAAGACAGTGCAAGACAATGAGAAATGGTGGCAATCACAGCAGAGTCGAGTAGCAGAGAAACAGCAGCAGCAATACAAGTGGTGGGAACCACGGGACTGGTGCAAGACAGCTATGGTGTGCTTGCCAGCCCACTGAAAGAGAGTTAAGCATCTTCGGGCAGGTTTTCTGGCAGAGTCAGGTACCTTGGTGGAGCTACAAGAGCTATAAAACTTGCCCAAGCAGGGCAGAGGCCTAGAGGGGCCCCAGGGCAGAGCTGGTGGTGACAGCAGAAAGCTGCTGTTAGGATGGCAGCAGCCAAGCAGGCTGCTACACTGGCCATGAGTTGGGCCAGTTAGCAGCAGAGAGGCCATAGAGGCTGAAGGCAGAGAAGGGCACATGCATGGCTGAGAGAAGGGCCTGCCTTCACGCACGGTTGAGAAGGGTCGTCAGACTAGCATGGCCAAGGAGCTGAGAACTGTCCTGTTTGGATGCGTCCTGACTGACAAACTGTATCCTGTCTCCTGAGTTGTATCCTGTTTCTTCCAAGTTGATCCTGATCCTGAGTTGTAGCCTGTTACTTCCCTAATAAACCAATAACTGTGAGTACGGTGAGTTCTGTGTGGCCATTGCAATGAATTATTAAGCCCAGCAGCTGAAGTAAAGAGTGCTGTGAGGGGATGGCTGCTGTCAGAAATGGTGAAGACTTTGGGAAGTGGAGGGATGTCTGACCTCCACCTCATAGGAACCAGCTTTGTGATGATTCTAATTCTTATTATTTGGAAATTTAAGCAACTTCATATGCTAGATTAGTCTCCGCATGTTCAATCTTGGACACTGAAACAAAGAAATTACACACAAAGGTACTAGACTTTTTTATAAGTAGCAGAAAACTCCTTGTGTGGCTGTGGAAGCTAAAAACAAGATGGAGTCACTTATGCCAAGCCTGGGAAAGCGTGGCTGCTACCTGACCTCACAGGGCAAACATTCAAGATAATAAGTAACCTAAACCTTAGAGATAATAACTAGCTCGTGTCTTTAACTTTATGTGTAACAAACCCTCTTAGAATGGCTCTACATTCCAGACAAGCTGGCCTAGGCAGGCATTGCCCCTCAGACCTGAGCCGTTTGTCTTCTTAGCAAAACACATTTCTGAGGAAGAAAGAATTTCAAGAGACATTCTGATGAATTTCCAAAAAACTCATTGAAACCCTTGGACATCTCTGACTTTCTTTGTTCCTTGGACTACAAATACACCATACTGTCTCATCACAGGTGTAACATCTAGACTCATGCTGTGTGTTGTTCAATTTACAAAATGTATGACTGGCTAATAAATCTCTAGCATTGTTTTAACTTTTTTAGACTCTCACAAATTATTCAACATTTCCCTCATGAACAACTGTCTGGTTTTATTGGTTATTTCTGAGATCCTTTTACTTCTGGGCAGATCTTGTTCAACGGATGTTAGACCTCTAAGGTAAACTGATTTTCTCTGCTATTTTTCTGGACTCATTATAACTAAGAATATAGCTATAACTTCTAATTATCCCTTTTAGATTTTAATTTTGCTCTACTCTTTCAGCATAAGTATTAAGGAATTAATGTTAGTGTTACCCCAGATTTCTATGTAACCTAGTGTTTCTATTAATTCTACATTCAGAATTAAGAAAAAACAGACTAAATGAGAAATCGTTTAAAATTCCTTTCAAACACCTCTTAAAATAGAGGTAAAGAGGGGGAAAAATAAGCGCAGGACAGTACATGGCTAAGGAACATGTGAGGTGACCAAGAACAAAAACTTATTTCACCATGGTGTATAATCAGATCGATATTTCTGAGCAAGAGAACCATGTGCAAGGTCCACCTGCTGTGGAAAACAGCAATGTGTTCTGGGATGGCTATTAGAGAGAGATGTTTTTGAGATACTCAGAAAAGGAGATAGAGAAATCAGGATCATGCTAACTTCTGGAGCCTCACTGCCTATCCGTTCTCCAGGACCGTATTATCTGGCTTGTATTAGCACGTTTCTAGTCTGGGAAGATGAAGGACAAGCAAGCAGAGGGCAAGCATCAAAGATAAGAGCTTTTTTGTAAATTTTTAAATGAAGAATTAAGTTAGGTAGTGGTCACAAATTCTTGGTGGTCTGGGTTTGACTGGAAACCATCTGAGAGAAAATTAATGGAATAAGTAAGATCTTTCAGGGTTAATTACAACTGTCCACGTAACTCAAATTCTATTCCTTCATATAGGAAAAAATCAGAGTGGCATAAGGACAAAAGTCTTCCCATTCCAAATAAACTGTGGTGTTTTCCATTTCAGAATCTCCTTTGAAATGGGAAGTCTTTAACTGAATATCAAAAGTTCAGTTCCTTGTACTATGGAGGTGCTCAGATTCCAACCAAAGCTTATCCTACAACCTGAGATCCATTCCTGTCAGCCAGAGTTTCCACTTCTGTGCAATGAAATAAGTATAATTCTCATACAATGAGAGCCCAGAGGAATTATTAAATACTAAGATGACATTCCTTTATAGATATTTCAAATTATAACTGAAAATGATTCTAAGATGTAAATGGTTATTTTGAATTCTGTTTTTTCTATTCTTCACTGTCTAGTATTGTCAATTAAAGAGGTAACAAAATTCTGATGCAGGTCACTGGCATCTATATAAGCAAAAAAGATGGCAGTGGTTTTTTTCACGTCTATAAATCTGCAGCACCTCCCCCCCACCCCCCAAATTTCTTCTGTTTGTGGAAAAAGACTAGAAGAACTCCTTTTACATAATGATCCATTTCTGTGCCTACCCTCTGTTCTCAGAGCTTTCCATACTCAAGTCTAGGAAGGGCAATTGTCAATTGCTGAGCTGATAATTAGACTGTATCTGGAGAAAATATGAGAGGTCTATTTACCTCTTTATGCGGAGTCAGTGGGTAGTGCAAAGGTTAAGCCTCAACTACTAGCCAAAAGGTTGGCGGTTTGAACCCAATTCCGAACACAGGCCTGGCAATCTGCTTCCGAAAGGTCACAGCCTTGAAAACCCTACGGAGCAGGTCTACCTGCAAACATGGGGTCTCCCTGAGTCGGAATTGATTCAATGGTAACTAACAACAATCTCTTTACAATTAGACCTATATTTGGTTCTGGCTCAAATGTTATCCTGACCAGGGCTGCTACCAATGGCCATGTAGGCTGTGGGCTGCCCATCTCCAGGGATGTCATTCACACTGTCATCTGCTTCTGCTATTAGGTGACCAAGGACAAGTAAGTGACATCACATTCTTTTACACTGCTCTTTAATATTTGCACTTTGGTGAGGAAGAAAATTGACCTTACCTTCCAGAGCTTTCAAGAACCCAATTTACAAAACAAGATTAAATGGTCAAAATTACATTATGTGTAATCTGTAAGGCTTCAAAGAACAGCCACAAGGAAAAGATAATAAATAAAGGAGTGGGTACTGAAGCCTAAGCCAACTGTTCTCTCCAGGGTGCACATTAGGAGTTTAAAACAAAAATACTGAGGCCTGGGTCCCATCCTAGGCCAATTAAATTACAGTCTCTAGGAGTGGGACCTTTGCAATAGAATTTTATAAAGTTCCCCTGGTGATTCCACTACGCAACCAAGCTTAAGCTGTAGAAGCTGATCAGTGTAGTTATGATAAACTCCTTATTATGGTCTGAACTGTGTCGCCCAAAAAGACATGTAGAAGTACTAACCCCTGAACCTGTAAATACGACACTGTTTGGAAACAGAGGTTTCCTTTTGTTATGTTAATGAGGTCATAGCAGAGTAGGGTGGGTCCTAAACCTAATCACTTCTGAGTGTTATCTTATAAAAAGAGCAGAATAGACACAGACAGACACACATGGGGAAAAGACCATGTAAAGATCTATCTACAAGCCAAGGAATCCCAAGGATTACCAGCAGCTACTAGAAGATGAAAGAGACAAAGAAGGACCTTCTAGAGAAGAGAGAGAAAGAAATAAGGAGAGCCTAGCTCTGCCAACAACCTGAATTCAGACTTCTGGCCTTCAAAACTATAAGACAATAAATTCTTGATCTTTAAAGTCACCCACTTATGGTATTTGTGTTATGAGAGCACTAGAAAACTAAGACACTCCTAAATGTTAAAACACACTAGAAGAAAAAATAATAGGAAGTTTTAATCCTCATACTGAGTTATGCTATTATATGCTACTGAATTATTGACACTCGTAAGGTCTTTCTCCAGTATGTATTTTCCTATGCTGAATAAGGAATGAGCCATAACTGAAAGTCTTTCCACATTCATGGCACTGGTATTTTATAATTCTTTTTATTAGGAAGCAGTTACCTAAACAACTTAAGTGCATTAGAACAGGAGCATAATAGATCCCCAGTCTAGTTACTGAAGCACAAATGCCTTCTATTGGCAAAACATGCATAAACACACATTCCAGATTCAACATAGCAAAATGCTGATGTATAATAATCCTATTCAAGATTATACTGTGAATGTACAAAATTAATATAAAACTCCAAAGTACCTTTAAAATCATCTACTCCAAATCCCTCATTTCACAGATGAGGAAACTGAAGCGTAAAATGGTTGAGTTTCCCAATGTCACGTAACTGGATTAGTTTAATCCAATGTACTTTTCATTCCATGATTGTGAAAACTTAAAATATTTTAAGCAGTTTCTCAATCCATATTGATTCCTTCACACTTAAAAAAAAGATGAGCTAGATTAAATGTATCCTCTTATGATGTTCCTAAAATAGTCATATGCCAGGATGAAGTCTCTGATGTTTGTTCAGAGCAGAACGATACCTAAATGCTTTTCCACAATCATTACATCCAAAAGGCTTGTCTCCTGAATGAATTCTCTGATGCTGAATAAGGTATGTGCTCTGGCTGAAAGTTTTCCTACATTCATTACAGTTATAAGGTTTCTCTCCAGTATGAGTATTCTGATGTTCAGTCAGATGAGTGCTCCGACTAAAGGCTTTGTCACATTCACTGCACTTATAGGGCTTCTCTCCAGTGTGAATTTGTTGATGCTGAGTCAGATGTGAGCTCTGGCTGAAGGCCTTATCACATTTATTACACTGATAGGGCTTTTCTTCTGTGTGAGTTTTCTGATGTTGAGCAAGAGATGAACAATGACGAAAAGCTTTACCACACTCAGCACACTCATAAGGCTTTGCTCCTGTATGAATTCTCTTATGTTGTGTAAGATGTATGTTCTGGTTGAATGCTCTCCCACATTCATTACACTTGTAAGGTCTTTCTCCAGTATGTATTTTCCTATGCTGAATAAGGGATGAGCCATAACTGAAAGTCTTTCCACATTCATTGCACTGATAGGGTTTCTCTCCGGTATGAATTCTCTCATGTTTAGCAAGAGATGAACTACGAATAAAGGCTTTTCCACATTCCTTACATTCATAGGCTTTCTCTTGGGTATGAGTCTTCTGATGTTGATTAAGGTTTGAGAGGTAACTGAAAGCCTTTCCACATTCATTGCACTCAAAGGGCTTTTCTCTGGTGTGAATTCTGCGATGTTGAGTAAGGGATGAGCAATAACTGAAGGCCTTCCCACATTCATTGCATTTGTAAGGTTTTTCTCCAGTATGAATTTTCAGATGTTGAGCAAGGGATGACCAGTAACTAAAGGATTTTCCACATTCAGCACAATCATAGGGTTTCTCCCCCGTATGCGTTTTCTGATGTTGAGTGAGGTTTGAGTGCTGGCTGAATGCTTTCCCACATTCATTGCATTCATAGGGTTTTTCACCAGTATGAATCATATGATGTCGGATAAATGTTGAGGGTCCGTTGAAGGCCTTCCCACATTCATTACATTTATAGGTTTTCTCTCCAGTATGAATTTTTTGATGTTGAGTAAGGTGTGTGCTCCTGGTGAAGGTTTTATCACATTCATCACATTTAAAAGGTTTTTCTCCTGTATGAATTTTCTGATGTTCCATAAAGTGGCCCCTCTGGCTAAACGCTTTTCCACACTCGTTACAAGTATATGGTTTCTCACCAGTATGAATTCTCTGATGCTGAACAAGATGGGTCCTCTGACTAAATGATTTCCCACATTCATCACATTTATAGGGCTTTTCTCCAGTGTGAATTCTTTGATGCTGAGTAAGAGATGGAGCCTCAATGAAGCCTTTTCCACATTGATCACATTTATATGGTTTATCTCCAGTATGAATTCTTTGATGGTTTATAAGGTTTTCACTCCGGCTGAAGGCTTTTTCACATTCATTACATTTGTAGGGTTTTTCTCCAGTATGTGTTCTCTGATGGCGAATAAGAGCTGAAAAATAACTAAAAGCTTTCCCACATTCATTGCACTTACAAGATTTCTCTTTTTTAATTGGGTTTAAATTCTGTTTAACACCAGTTTTATGTTCATTGCATTTAGGAGGGCTCCCTTCTGAAGATATTTCTTGTGTTACAGGGTTTGAACTCATATTGATGCTTTTCCCATATTCATTACTTACAAGTCCTTTCTTCCAAGTAGGTATTTTCTTCTCAGTGATTTTTATTTCCCTTGGCAGTGTCCACTCGTTTGTCTGTTCCCCTTCTGGACTGCCTTCAGATTCGAAAGTTTTTAAGAAGTTGGAACTCCCATGATAATCCCTTCTGACTTTTTCCACTATTGCCGCTGGAGATGGCTTTTCATCAGAAATGTCTAGCTCTGAGGCTGACCCACTATTTTCAGGCCTCGTCTCCCAGTCTGAAAGAAAAAGAAAATGCCGGTAGTCTCTGAATAGAGAAAAAGAAAACTGCTGTTGTGAGAATGATCTAATAAAACTAGAAATAGATCCCTTGGGAAATTCTGAGGGTTTACAAAATACAGGCCTATTATTTGGAGAGGAAGTTGAAAAAGCTAAGGAAAATGTTAGATAAAATATGAAAATGGCAAGAGAATGCCTAATTCAATTCCACACATAATCGCTAAGAACTACTAGTAAGGGAACTCCATTTAAGATACTAGTTAATTAAAAAGGTAACCATAGAAATGGCTATGAGGAGATACAGATGAACTGAATCTAAAGGAGGCATTCTTAAATGGGATTCATTGGCAATGAACAATAAAACAAAATTCCAAGAGTCACAATTTAAAGACAGGACAAACTTGAAAGACTTGGCTAAGACCCCATGGTTTTTAAGCATGAAACAATGAAAGAATACTGTAGAAATGGCGAAGTTGTAAACAGTAGAAGAAATAATTCAAGAGGAAGAAGATAGCAGGTTCAAGTCTAGGATTTTGAGGATTAGGAAAAGAAATAGAGGATTGGACTAGAGTAGTGTTTGTTGAAGTGGAAGATTCTAAAAGTAGGAGATTAACCGGAACGTCCAAATGTAGGATAAGAAATGTCAGCTCAAAACAGAAACACAAAAGAATAGCTGAAGACATAGGAATGTAAGGGAGAAAAGAGCAGAGGTAGAGGGAAGATCCTGGAGGCTATTTAGGGTAATGGGATGAATAAAATATACTAATGGAAAAAAGCAGTATATCAGCAAACAAAAGATCAGAAGAAACAGAAAGAAAGGAAAGTACATAACAAGAAGTATAGTGTTGCCCAAGACAAGAGAAATGACAACTAAAAGAAGCAGGGTATTCAATCCTGGCAGACTCAGTAAAGAATAAAGGCGGTATTTAAAACACCATTTTTTTTGGTTCCACTGGTAAGAGAAGTTACACCAAACCCTAGGGAACCCTGAGTCTGTCCCATGCTGCCAGCCCAATCACTATCACTGCAAGCACGAGGCAGAGACCCAGAGCCACCTGCTACCCCCCACCCCCACCTGGCATCATGGGTAATAGTACAGGGAGCATAAGCGTATACAACCTTGTAACAGCAGAACTTCTCCATCAGGGACAAGAAGATCAATGCAACGCTGGTTTTGGAAACAACCAAAAGGTTCAATATAAGAAATGGATATGTCTTCATCAACAGGAATGATACCAAGGAAGATATGTTTGTACAGCAGATCACCATAAATAATACCTCTTGGAAGTATTTTGCAGTGAAGGAGATGGAGACCATGGAGTCTGATGTTGTTAAAGGAGAAAAGAGTATGGAAGTGGCTTTTCTTCAGGCCTCACTGGAGTTCCAGGTGAAGGCAATAAATATGCAGCAGACTGAAAAATGTTATCCACATTGTTGGCTCCTCCATGTAATTACCAGCAGAATTACCCAAATATCAACAGTGAGGCAAAGAATGAAGGACTGGAGAAGGCTCCAGAAGGCCAGATTGAACAAAACAATCCCTACTGCAGAAAGCAATTCCCACTTTATGAGATGCAAAGTCTACAGGCATTGACCACAGTATTCAGACATCCCTGTGTATGCAGAAGTAACTGAGGGTGCTGACGACCAGGCTGCAGGAAAAAAAAGTAAACGAGGTAGACCAATGGAACAGAATATTTATCAGGGTTTACAGATCACAATTCTGCAAGGACTGTGTCACCAAGACAGCCTAGAGAGAATGACAATACAGAGGATAAGGAAAATGCTGAAGACAAGGCCTAGGGCCAGTGACTACCTCAGTGTAGGTACTGCCACAACTTTAATTACCCATACAAATGCCTAGAAAACTGTAAAATAATTTTCACACACAAAAGAGCCAATCCACTAGCTAAGAATAAGTCTGCTCCGAATGCTGATGAGGGCAGAACCGAGGGTTGGCTTCCTAAGACTACCATCATCAGGTTTAGCCACCCAACAAAAAAGCTATCAGCAATAAAAAAATAAAAGAATGGCGTTAAATACCTAAAGTGCTTTCCTTCTGCCCACTGACTAGATAACTGGAACTATCTAAATTATCTATTTGACATAGCGTTTTTATTATTTTTACCTAAATAAATCTTTTAGTTAATGACTAAAACATTTTTTGAAAAACCTGGATTTTCTCTACACTCATTTAAATGTTTTAAAATTGTCTTCTATCTTGCCAAGTTGGGATCTTTTAAAACTTAACTTTTAATTTGTAATAAAACTTGACAACTTGATTTCCCCCAAAATTAACAAACTATAAGCACCAGTTAATGAAGCTTTTATTACAAAAATAATTAGAGTTTTTCAAATTGTGTTCCATGAAACCATCTTCTTGGGGAAAAATTCTGAAGATATGGTATGACAAAAAAAAAGGAATCATAGTTAAAAAGAGAGAAAGAATGAGAGAGAAATGTTACATTCTATGCAATCCTCTTGAAAATTCATATAATGCCTATTAATAATCAAATTCAGCATTTCCCAAATTTGACTATGGCACACTCCTCCCCCTCTTCATCTGCATAAAAAGGAGCCCCTTCTCCCTCTATTAAGAACCCTGGTGGCACAGTTGTTAAGTACTTGGGTACTAATCAAAAGGTTGGCAGTTCGAACCCACTAGCCACTCTACAGGAGAAAGATGTGGCAATCTGCTTCCACAAAGATTACAGCCTTGGAAACCCTATGGGGCAGTTCTACTCTGTCCTGTAGGGTTGCTATAAGTCCGAATCAACTCAAGGGCAATGGGTTTCTCCCTCTATTAACTCTGGACAGGTACTCCTCAGACAGCAGCTAGGTCTGTGCAATTTTCCACAGTCAAGTCCTTGAAGACTTCCCTCTGCAGTTTGAGGACTTAACGGTTTAGAAAAAAGTTTATTCATACCTTTTAAGGATAGTCTGAGGAGATGACAGGCTTAGAACCTACACACTGAGACTAAGAAAAGAATAGGTGATAAAGAAACAAAAGTTGCAGGTACATAACTCACTTTTGCTGAGTTTGGTTGGGAAAGAATTGAGAGGCTGGATGGTGGCCGGAAAGATGAATTGTGTTGAGTAAAGATATTTGGAAATACAGGTTACCTATTTCTGTTTGAAGGCACTAGGGATAGAGCCTGTGGATCCAAAAGAGAAAACTGAAAGGGCTGAAAAGTGAGGTAATAATTATGAGATCAAGGTCCCAAAGGAGGTGGGATGAGATAGAATCCAGAGTCCAGAATGAGAAGCTGGCTTTAGGAAAAGGCAGGAAGGACATCTCCGCTGAAGGGAGTATAAAAATGGAATATATATTGAGACAATTTGTGATATGACAAAACATAAGAGAGTCCCAAACAAATGGCTTCCCACTTCTCCACAGGAAACATTTTAAAAAGAAGCAAGTACATCTCCATTTCAGGAATTAAATCCTCTATCAGGTTTGTGGTTAGAGTTAAAGACACTGATTTGCTGGGCTTCCATGACTTACCTCTAGAAGTACCTACTGGAACACCTGGTTCCACTGTCCATGGCTCTGTCCCTTGTTCTAACTGGGAAATCACATCAGGTTTAGAAACTTGGAGTCCTGCTCATGGGGAAAAAAAGAAAAGAACTTGTCTGCTGTAAGGGAAAAGTACAATATCAGAATTCAGTCTCACTGCTTTGATATGCGGGACAAACCTGACAGGAGTGGATAGCTTAACAAGCTTAAATGTTACAAATTCCCAGATGTGGTGGGGATATAGGCTGGGAACTGATCTGAGTCCAGAAAAATTATTGTTTGCTCCTCTACTTGTTAGTAGAATAGAAACCTTTCCAAACCTTTTAGAACTTAGGAATCTCTTGTTCCTAAACCTAAAAGCAAAACTCACCTAAGCACAAGAGAGAATCCCAGCCCAACCCCAGATATTAACTTAGAAGTCATCCTTACCTATAGAGACCAGGTGTGTATAATTTTCCAGTGTCACATCTCTGAACAAATCTCTCTGCACAGGATCCAACTGTTTCCATTCTTCCTGGGTAAAGTCCACAATGACATCCTTGAAGGTCACTGATTCCTGAAATATCAAATACATTTCTGCTTAGCCAGAAAGCGTTTGCCCGGGAAAGGGATAAATTTAGCAACACTGATAGAAGTAAGGACAGGCTATAACCAAACCCAAACCAAACCCATTGCCGTCGAGTCAATTCTGACTCATAGCGACCCTACAGCATAGAGCAGAACTGCTTCATAGGGTTCCCAAGGAGTGGCTGGTGGATTCGAACTGCTGACCTTTTGGCTGGCAGCCAAGCTCCTAACCACTGAGCCACCAGGGCTCTGTAAGACAAGCTATAGGCTATCTGAAAAATGATTCTGACAATATTTCCTCCTTTGTAAAATGAATATAAAAACTAATTCACAGTGTTACTGTAAGAATTAAAAGATTTTCAATGTGAAATGCTTCATTTAGGGTCTGGCACAGTCAGTGCTTGCCACTGTTGTTAATCATCATCTCTGTGTTCCAAGATATATCAAGTATTAATAATATGTATACTATCATCAGTAATATTTTTTACTACCTACAATGTGCAAGAATAGCCAAAATTTTTTTGAAAAAATTTGGGTGGGGGTTATTTATTCTACCACATTTCAAAACATACCAAAAGATTAATTAAAACAGAGTGGCCTAGTATAGAATAAAACCCAATAAAACAAAACAGACTCCAGAAACAGACCCATGTTTATAAGATTGCATAAGATTAAGTCAAAGGATTAAACAACTTTCAAATCAGTTAGGATAAACTAGATTAGTCAATAAACAATGTCATAACAAATGATTGTCTGTTTGAGAAAAAAAAATCCTTCACAGCATACACAAAAATTCTTGCTAGATTAAAGATTAAATTTTAAAGAAAAAGCAAAATAAAATAGTAAAATAAAAGACAGGAATAGAATTTTATAAACTTGAAATATGGAAACCAAAAAGTAGAAGACAAAAAGAGAAACTGACAGATTTAACCACACAAGCATGTAGAACTTTTGTTAAGATACTATAAACAAAATTAAAAGACAACATTCTGAGATCCCAACAAATAATCAGGGAAAAAGATAACCAACCCACAATAATAACAACAACAACAAAAACCATCAACAACCCAAACAAACAATTTACCAAAGAAATGGTTAATAAACCATGAAAGATGTTCTACCTCATTAAAAATAAAAAATAGTAAAACAATGAGATGTCAAATTGGGTAACACTGCTGAAGTATGCAAGTGTACTGAGGTAGGAACAGAACTCTAATGCAATCTATTTGGTGTGTAATCTGACAGGATCTATCAAAATTTATACATATACCATTCAGTCCAGTCTTACTGCTTCTAGGAATTTATTCTTCAAAAACACCTCAGGGTGCAAAGACATAAGTACAAGTGTTCCTGCAATGCTGTTTGTGTGAAGAAAAAAAAAATTAAACTTAATTGCCCTTTAATAGGATAGTGGTTAAAGAATTTACTGTATGTTCATACTAAAGTACTTTATACTGCCATTTTAAAAATGAGGTATCTCTTTTTTGTACTGATTAGGTAATATGTATACAATATATTAATAAGTGAAAAGAACAGTATACACAGTATGATCCCATTTTTTATTTTATAAATAGTAAAGCTTACATGTAAATGCATAGAAAAAAAAACAACTGAAAGAATACACAACCAAATATGAACAATGAGAATGGACAGTGGGACTTGGAGGCAATGCAGGAGAACTACCTACTTTTTCTTTATTTACTATGTATTTGAAACACTGAGTGAGTGTGCATTAATTTTGTTTTAAAAGAGATAAATATGTTAACTATTCATTGGCACTTTGCTTCCGGCTATGAGAGAGTAACTGGACTAGCTCTCCCACTGTAAATAACTATAAAACTGAGCAACATATCTAAAACGAGTGTTTTCATATTTTGGACAGCAGGCAAGACAGAACTATGTGCCTTAAAGAAAAAGAGGGAGCTGCACAGAGGTGGAGCTCCAAAAATCTGCATAGGGATACTCTTGAAACTTTGAACAAATACCGGTCTGCAAATGCAGGGGATGACATTACATAAAGCAAAAAAAGAACAACTTCTAGGAAGCTGTGAATTAAATACTCTAAAAGCTTACACAGGGATGACAGATGTGCAAATCACAGCCATCTAGATTGAAGAAAAAATCTGTGAACACCCAGGCCGTTCAGAAGAAAAGACAGAAAAGCTATGCCCAGTGGTAAACTGGTTCTCTGAAAGTAAAACGACCCTGATTTGTAGCATTTGCAGATTTTCCATAATGTAAATACAATCTCCACAGTAAATACCAAGTTACCAACATGGCATCACTGTACGTACGGTTAAAAAGAGATGTATAAAATCAGCTCCTAAAAACAGCTCTAACACACTTTAGCAGGGAAAGTCTATCCTACAAGGAAAGAGTTAAAAGAGCAGGTCTGGTGCTCATCCTTTCTTATCTCCAGGAACACCTGAAGCCATATTACTGACCCTTGAACAAGCTCTGAAAATTAAAAACCTTGGAATGTTCACACAGTCACTGGTCAATGATGTTATTCTGTGTGCCCAGAACAATACCATTCCATGTGGCAGGTATGTGCCTACGTGACTAGCTCCCTTTCGGAGCCCTGGACTCTAAGACTCCAACAGGTTTCCCTGGGTAGAGAAATCTTGAATGTCTCTGTGGATCACAGCTAGAGAGACAACATGTGTTAGGGGTTGAATTCTGTTCCCCTAAAAGATACGCTGAAATCTTAATCCCTGGTACCTGTGAAGGTGACCTAGTTTGGAACTAGGGTTTTTGCAGTTGTTAGTTAATTACAATGAGCTCATACTGGAGTAGGGTGGGCCCTAATCCAATATGACTGGTGTCCTTACAAGAAAAAGAGAAAAAATACAGAGACAGACAGATGCAGAGGGAAGACTGAGGCAGAGATTGAAGTTATGATTCCATGAGCCAAGGAATGCCTGGGGCTGTGAGAAGCTGGAAGAGAAAAGGAAGGATCTTCCCCTAGAGTCTTTGGAAAGACACCCTGAATAGAACTTCTAGCCTCCAAATCTGTGAAAGAATAAATTTCTGTTGTTTTAAACCACCTAGTTTGTAGTACTTTGTTAGAGCAGGCACAGGGAATTAATATAATACATCTGTGCGACCAAAAAAAAGGGAGGAATTGGAAGCCTGCACCTGACTTCTTTGGAGTCTGCTTATGCACATATGTTTTCCTGACGATCCTCTTTTCTATCCTTTCTGTAATAATCTTTAGCCTGCTGCCAAATCCTATGCATCATTCCAGGAATCACTGCACTAAAGAGTGGTCATGAGTGCCTAGAAACATAATCTTAGAGTAAGGTTACAGTAGACTAACCCTAACAAAACTTACAGTTCAAAAACAAACCTTAAAAGGATCAAGCAGTGGCTAAAATGGGAATAAAAAGAACTGGATTTACCCTCCTGAATGAAACAACGAAAAAATTTCAAACAAAATATATGAAATAACACTTTGCAAGACACTGGACCACAGGCAACAAAGAACAGTAATCCCAGAGAGTTGGGAAACAAATGAGGTTTCAGCTTACTGCCTTGAGAGTTTCCAGGAATATTCAAAATGGTCTTGCCTCAGTAGTGGGGAATAAATAGCCTAATACTAAACACTGTTCTGGAATTCACCTTACAAATCTTAAGAAGTAAGATCTGAATGGAACACAGTGTTTTCAAGTAACTAAACTGCATCCCAGAAGAGGGCTCAAGAATATATTATAGGAACACAAAAATATGCAGCACTCAACAGGTAAAATTCACAATGTCTAGCATGCAATCAAAGATTATCAGGCATAAGTAGTACAACCAACAATGAGGAGAAAAAAATCAATCAAAACCAACCTAGAACTGATAGAGGTGCTAGAATTAGCAGACAAGAACACTGGAAGTTAATATGACTGCATTGTATATGTTCAAAAAGTTAAAGACAGACATGAAAGATATAAATAAAGACCAAATGTAACTTCTAAAACTGAAAGTGACAATGTTCTGAGATGAAAAATACATTGGGAAGTATTAACAGCAGATTAGTCATTGCAGAAGAGAAGATGAGTAAACTAAAGACACAGAAATAGAAACTATCCAAAAAAAAGAGCATTAGGGAGCATGGGACAACTTCAAGTGGTCCAATATATGTGCAATTGGAGTCCTTAAAAAAAAAAAAAAAGAGGGCAGAATAATATTTGAAGAGATAATAGCTGATTATTTTCTAAACTTGATGAAAATTATAAAACCACAGATCCAAGAAGCTCAACAAATCACAAGCACAAAGAAACAACAAAGATATTCCAACGCACATATAATCAAATTGTTCAAACTCGGTGATAAAGAAAAAATCTTATAAGCAGTCAGAAACAAACAAAAAAAATACATAAAGACAAAGGAAAAAAGATTTTTAAATGACAGTAGTTTTTGTTGTTATTGTTAGAAATAACGCAAGTAAGAAGACAACTGAACAACATCAGAGAAGAAAACTGTCAACCCAGAATTCAATTCCCGATATCTTTCAAAAATGAAGGTGAAATAAAGACTTTTTCAGACATACAGAAATGGAAAGAATTCATCAACAGCAGACCTGCACTACAATAAATGTTAAAGTCCTTCAGGCAGAAGGAAATGATACTAGATAGAAATATGAACCTACACCAAGGTTTCTCAACCACAGCACTATTGATATTTTGGACCAGATAATTATTTTAAATAATAGTAGAGGGTTGCCCTATACATTGTTGGCAGCATCTCTGGCATCAACTCATTAGATGCCAGCAGTACACCTCCCCCCCCCCCAAGTCAAGTCATGACAATCAAAAATGTCTCCTGGGGGACAAAATTACTTCCAACTGAGAACCACTTATGTACACAAAGCAATGACGAACCTCAGAAATGGCAACTAAATGCATAAATATACAAAATTTTTCCTATTATTTAAATCTCTTTGAAAGAATATTCACTGCTTAAACAAAAATAATAACATATGTATAAGTAAAATATATGACA